AAACGGGACGGAAAACATGAAATTTTGCAATAATCTTGCGCCACCCTTGCACAAAACGACGATAATTTTTCTAATTTCATAGACAACAGAAGACTATATTTTTTCTACATAACCCCCCCCCCCTGACTTTAAAGTTGCATCCGCCCCTGCTTTCCATCTCTGTCCCCCTAGTGCGAGCAGACAAAGACAGGTTGCTGAGAAGTTCACCTGATTGGTGCAACCCTGTCTTAGTTTGCAGGCATCAAACTGCACAACAGCGTTGCCTGGTGCACCAGTCGCGGAAATGGGGATTTTTTGCTTTTAAAACCCTCAATGCGGATAAACAAGCACAGGCTTTAAATGCAGGCTCCTGGAGCTTTCGAATCTGCTAGAATAATGATTTTCAATTTTGAACCACCCTGTATAGTCAGGATAAGAGTTAAAACCAACACGCGCCGGAAACTGCTAGATCAGAGTCGCTAGAGATGAAGGCTGTCTGTGAGGATTCAATATTCTTTATAGATTGTCGCAAGTTCTACGGCAGCTACGCAATAATTGTCAGCAAGAGCGAGAGGGAATTTTTTTGAGGGCAAACAACTGTTAATTTAATTCAAATTTTTACCACTTAATGTGACTGCAGATTTACCAAGACGAGAATAACACACTTTAACCCTCAGAGTGAACGCCCAGAAATGCACACTTGAAGCGAATTAATAGCGAAACTGAAGAAACTAGTTTAACCTCAAAACAATGACGTCACTGCCAAATAGCTTGCAACAGCCTATACCTATATATTATCGATTCATCGCAGGTTTCATTAATAAAACGACATTATAGGCCGGCAACGTCGCAATGCGCATCTAACCTACTTTAGGGCTGATGAATGATTTCCCAAAAGGGTGAAGACCCTCTGCGGCTATGCGAAACTGGGTCAAGCTGATACCGGGAGAGCTAGAAAATAAGGTCAGCAGCTATTTTTAGGACCTGTCTCAGTGAGAGGGGGCAAAGTGAATCGGGACTGCATGAATGGGGCCAATGCATGAATTGGATAAGGGCGCGAGAAGGGGGAGCAGGGGTGGGGGACACGGTGGTTGCCCTGTGTTACAGCAGCAACAGCCCGAAGAACATTATAATGGCTATCGATCACATGGCGAAACGTTGAATGTTCGAAACTATCTGGGCTTTTTGAGGTTGTCAGTGTTGCTGACGTGTCAGATGGATTGACATTTTGTGGTTAAATTGTATGACAATCCTGCGCGCAGTCATGTCAGTTGACTGAGTTGGATTAACCCAACTTAGACTGAGGACTTCGACGGAAACTATGTGCGAAAAAATGCAACACTGCTGCCCCCAGTTCTAAAATCTTCGTTTCACGACACAATTTTTCTGTTGGGGGGTTTTTCAAGAAGTCAAAGGTTTTACAACGTCTAAAACTAACTGTGTGACATGAGCGAATCGTTTGAGTTCAATGGCGCTCTGTTCGTCTGATACGCACAAAAGAAGTGGGACAGACATAGAGACGACCGGTGATGACGTGTCAACTGTTTAGTTTGTGCTGCGCATTTATGTTTAAGCCAGATATACGGGGTGACCCAAACAAGTTTCCTTCATAAAATGGATTTTTTCAAAAACAATTAAGTGAAGAGCCCTTTTCTCCGCAGAAAGTAATCGACTCACAAAATTTTTCCCAGTGGCGTCTAAGTTAGAGGCAAAAAACTGAAAACCTACTTCCCTGACATGCATAAAAACGATATAATCATTGGAAAAATGTAACCAGAAATGCAGTTCAACGTGACGATTTAACGCTGAAAACAATGAAAAAACCTGCAATAGTGGAGAAATAGAACCGATAGTCTCTGAATGCAGGTTTTATCTGGAATCGATCAACAAAAACAAGTCCGCTGGCTGTTAAAGCAGGTAACGGGAATCAACATGAATTCGTTCCAGGGGGAGGAGCAGTGAAACGGGCTGGTTGACCTACTTTTGCGTATGAATGGCCTCGCTGGAGGGCAACAACCCCTTTGGAGGGGAATATAGGTCATCCAGGAAGCATCAGCAAGACTATATTTAGATACCAGATAGAGGGTGACTGCAATTGCAATGCTTTCAGGGATTTGACGATGCCTTCATTTTGTAGTGCGTTTTTTGGGTCAGCCGATTGAACTGAACACATGATTGGCTCAGTACTGAAGGTTAATACTGCACCCTCTTAAATTGAAGTTTTGTTTAATCAACCAACAAAAGACAAGCGACTTGTTACAATTACGTTTCATAGAATTCAAAAATTTGACGTTTTTTGTCCCGTTTTTGCTCATTTCTCGGAAGCCAGAACGCTCGTTTTTACATCATTCCAGAAATGTCGGTAGTTTTCTCAAAAACACCTTGAGTTCAAGAAGTTTTAGATTTGCGAGTTTTTTTGTCGACTCAAACTTGACTGGTTCTCAAGAACCATTTGAGCCACAAAATTCGTTTTGGCATCATTGGATAGAGAATTGAAAACTCGATTCAGTAACAAGGTGAGTGAGGAAATTCGAGTAGTTTTGACCCAGAAAGCGAAATTTGAATATCAGACACTTAGGTGCAAGATTATGCCAAAATTTCACGTTTTCCGTCCCGTTTTTGCTCATTTCTCGGAGGCAACATGAGCAAGAACGCTTATTTCTACATCATTCTAAACAGAAATAAATAGCCTTTCTAGAAAGTGAACCATGGATAAGAAAATGTTGGCAGTTTTCTCAAAAAATGCTTGAATTGAAGAAGTTTTAGATTTGCGTGGTTTTTTTTTGAGTTCCAAAATCCACTTGAACATGACGCTGCTTTTTTCGAAGTTTCTCAAGAACCATTCGAGCCACATAATTCGTTTTGGCATCATTGGATAGAGAATTGAAAACTCGATTCAGTCGTAACAACTTGAGTGAGGAAATTCGAGTAGTTTTGACCCAGAAAGCGAAATTTGAATATCAGACACTTAGGTGCAAGATTATGC